TGGGTTAAGTTTTCAGCCAGCAGCAATCATGTCTCAGTTGAACTTCATAGACTATGAAATCGCCTCTGCAAAGTGATGCCTATTGCCCTAAAGACATTCAAATCTATCTGGTCAGACACTCACAAAACACATGGTGCAATCCTCGAACCTTACAGGGTGTATGGACATGCTAATTGTGCATGTCATTGGCTTGTTGACTGCAAACCATGCCTTCTTCATGTAAAGGCTGGATGAAGAATAATTAGGATAACCTACTTAGTGAGAGTACTTTGGTAAGCAAAGATAAGAATGGACAGGCATATTTGATCATGAATTCTAACCTGTTGAAAAAGCTGGTAGACTGTAGCCAGACAACCCAAAAAAGTGCATCTCTTTAGTGGATATTTGAACAAGAACTCTAATCATTCTACCGATGAACTCTGTCTTTTACATTTACAGAAAGTATTAAGTCTCCTTAGAGACCGACAAAAATTGCCATAGCTGACTATATTTAAATATAGTTATTTACATCAACAATTAATGTCTATTTCAGAGCAGAGTAAACCCTTTCAGTCTGTTTGAAAGAAACATTTAGATCAATTCAAGGCATTACGGGCAGAAACCTGGGATGGAAGAAACCTCCGGAAGACTGAGAAGAAGGATGGGGATGAAATACAATAGAATGAGTGTCTGATTAAGATAGTTGTTCCTCCACGGATTGTATTGGACTTGCAGTTGTAACAAGTTGATTTTTTGACATTAACTTCCACACAGACGATGTGTGTGACGTTACTGTCTGTGCCGCTGTGTACTGAGGAAAAACTATCATCGTGTGTAACCGACAAAAAAAAACAGAAATTTTAAACTGATTGGCCAAGTTTTTTTTTTGCCAGACACATTTACACACCCGGCTGTTTCGATTGGCAGCCGATCATCTCTAGAAATGACACATGGAATATAAACATGTATTTTATTACCCGCTAGCTGTTTCAGTTGCATTTTCAGCTCCGCTAAGGTTTATAATGCAACTCAGATGTTTCATAAATGCATTGTATCGTTCTAATCAGACCAGCAAGTGAATAACTATTTCTTGAGTCAGCTAATGTTTTTGAATTTTTCCCCATCTACCATTCATGAATTTAATGTAGGCACTAATGAAAATAACAAATAATAGGTCTTTCCAAACAAAGTAAGAGCCAAACCTGCGTTCATCTGCTACAATCCAAAGTGGAGCGTGCAGAGACTGGATGTTCAATTGACTGTGAAGTGCAGCTTAATGAACGCGCTGAAGCCACAGGCCCCTCAGGGCGTCTTCACACCAGCCTTTCGCTCGAGTTGAACCCTGGAGCGGTCACCCTGGAGCGGTCACCCCCTCTGTAGCTTTGGTGGGGTTGTTTGGTGTGAATGCTGGACTCAAACTCTGGTGTGGAACAAACAACAGCTCTCTGGTCTGCCTCAATTGGTGGTCTTGGACCGCCAACAAGACAAAAGCGATGGCGATAGACTTCCATAGGAAGACACAGACCACAGCGCTGGGCATACACGGATTGGATATTGAGATGGTGAGAACATACCTGGGTGTTCACCTCAACAATAAACTGGACTGGTCAGACAACACAGGTGTTCAGTAAAAAAAGGGCCAAGTCATCCTCATTTGCTGAGGAGACTGAGATTGAGTGTGCGGGACACTGTTAAGAACATTTTATGACGCATCCTCTCTGCAGTGTTCTTCTTGGGAGGTGGAAGCAGGGAGCGGGACAGAAAGACTCAAAAAAACTGTTTTTTCGGACTTGCTCCGTCTTGATGCCATAGAGGAGGTGGGTGAGAGAAGGGTGTTAGCCAAAACCTCTCACCCACTGCATGAGACTGTAGGGGCCTTCAGCAGCTCCTTCAGTAACAGGCCACGTTACCCACAGGTCCTTCATTCAAACGGCAGTCAGGCTTCTTAACACAATGTAATCACTGCTGTCTGCCACTACCACCAACCACACAACCCAACAGCCTATGCTATGCAAATTATATATATTGGGCAATAATATTTATTCATGTTTTATACAGTACAATGCTACACACCAATTTTCTTGTGCAATACGTTAGTGCAATAAGTGATAAGTGAAAGCTGTGTATATGTACTTTGCTATGCTATTTTATTTGTAGTTGTTTTTTATCCAACCTCATTTTTATTAATCACTCAACCACTTTTCTTCCTTTCCTCTTAAGACTACTGAGCTGTGATAACAATTGAATTTCCCTGATGTGGGATCAACAAAATTCGTATCTGTTGTATTTTATCTTAAAATGTGCTCAAACTGCTTTTTTAGTTACAGCAACAAAACAGTAGAATGTTTACTACCACGCCCTAATTTCTCTATATAAAGAATTACGTTTGCTGAAAGGTTTATCATGAAGAAAGCGGTGAAGTTGTTGTAAAAGAGAAAAGCACAGTCCTTAAACTGAAAAACAACTACTGAAGAAAGTGAGACAATAGTGTCCGAGATGGAAGACAAAAAAGGCACATTTTTCCAAAATGTTTCCAAGGGAGTGATGATGCTAAAGAAAAAGGAAGCTTGGGCTGCGAGGTGGTGAATGTTGTGTCCCCTGAGATACGGACTGTGGCTCAGGTGAAAAAGAAATGGTTTGATATAAGGTCATGTGAAAAAAAGAATAACAGACCAGACGGCAAGAAAGAAACAGGTGGAGGAGGAAGACAAGGACCGTCTGATCGGTCAGCCCAAGACGAGAGACTCAACGCGTTATTATCGCATTAACGCATTCATTAATTAACGCCGACAATTATTTTATCTCGCGTTAACGCAGTTTTTTTTTATTATTAAGCGGACATTTTTAACACAAGAACCGGCCGGCCGGCCGGTCGCGATCGGTGAACAGTCGTTTGTGTGGCTTCTCTTCCGTCTCTTCCCGTTTCCTTCACCTACATTCCCCTGGGTCCTAAGTCCCTCCATGTACAGCTTCTTATCACCCTCTATGTACCAACGTACATTTATAACAAATACCACACATAATACGGTAATCAGCGTTGCATATGTGTCTGACCAAAATAAGAAATTATTCATTTAAATTATTTTTTTAGAGTTTTTAAAATGAATTTTGCGCTTAACAATGCAATTAATCACAAAAAAATCATGCGATTAAAAATTGTAATCGTTGCCCAGCACTAGTTCTAATATTAGATGCATCTATTCAAAAAGTATTTGTTTACATTAAGACAGCTGGCCGGGTCTACATCATCTGTGTGTATGCATGGTCTGAGGCAGTTCTACATTTGTTCGTAGAGTAAGAACAAAGTCAGGGAAGAAAATATTGATAAATCCAGGATTTGTGCGTAAAACGCTCACACTTGTGTACTTGTGTGCGTATGCGCTGATTGTGAATCAGGCCGAATATCCTACATTCTTTTCTTTGGTAAGACAGGTCAAGGTACACAATTTATGAACAAGGTTCTCATACCAGAAGGGTGGCTAACAGTCAGCCTAGTGGAATCTCATCCAGCCCTGTTGTATTTCTTGCACACACCATTCAGGGCAGCTATCAGTGATTAAAGGCCAGGAAATCAATGGCAGAGCTGTGCCCCTCATGATAGCCTGGTCCCTGGGCAATAGAGGATGTGCAGGTTCCAGTGGGATGTGACCTCATTAGACCAGGAACAATAACCTGGATGCATAGTCTGAAGAATTATAAAAAAACTAACTAATTGCAATTATTTGGACTGATATTGCAATTGCTACATGATTTGCGATATTAGAATGACATATTTTCATCATTATTCTCTTTTTCATTGAACAAGATATTTAAATGTTTTCTGAGTATGTAGAATATGATGTGTAGGCCGAGACATCACTGCAGACTACAATATATAAAACGAAATGGTATTTTCAAACATTTCGCAATACTGTGCGTGCTGTCTGTGAAACTGCAGTAGTAGTATTGATAGATTGATGCTATATTTTGTGACTGTGTATAGTCAGAGATGTCTTCTTGTCAGGAATCATTTAATATTGCTTGTGAATATAATCTATTTAATCTTATTTCCATATATGTATTTTGTATGTAGCGTGTGTCCTTCAGCTAACTTCACTAAATCCGTCATTGTCAGCTCTATCTGGGCCGTCAGAAGCCATTTACTGTCAGCTGATTGGATGCAAACATTTTAAGTAATAAGAGGAAGCGACACTTTGCTTCCTGAGACAACGGCATTAAAAATGTTTGAATCATGTCCGTTTAGGGTTTCCGTAGAGTAGGCCATACTGCCATTTCAATACAATTTCTATTCATTGTGCAACCTAATGCATATAAAGAGTGGGAGCATTATGAATTTACAGAGTATCCCCATTCACATTTTACTTTACTACACTACAGTGATTTGTTATCGCACTTCCATAATGTCGGGGAACAAAACAAACCTACAATGTTCAATACTGAAATAGACATTTCGCATAATTCATTAGAACTTCCCTGCATGTTAACCTCCACACCTAAAGTCTCAAAGATCTTAAGCTGAGCCAACCCAAACAACATCCCTATGACATCATAGTTTGTCAGACTAGACAAAGATCCTCCAGAGCCACAGAAGACATCACACTTTCTGCAATAGTACTCCTCTGTAAGTCAATTGAAATGTGAAACTGGTGTAGTGCCCCTTTAAACAATGTTTTAAACAATGTTGGATTATCTAATGGATAATCCAACGAGCCATGTGATCATAGAAAAGAATGGAATGTATTGAATAACTACTGATATATGACTAAATAGACGGTGAAATACTAAACAGCTGATCTGTACACAATGATGTCACTCTCTCTGCAAGTTTTTGTAGTTGTGCATTTTCAGTATGTCAATATCTCCACTCTGTCTTCAGGGATCCTGTATCAGCGCCTGTTGACGTGCCACTGCCCTGCTGTGACCAGAAGCTAGCTAAGTGTGAACCAGCATTCACCTCAATCACTACATTTAACCAAGAGCTGGAGGAGACAGAGTGGTGTCTTCACATCAGTGTGCTGTACCTTTTTGTCTTTCATGGTTCCGTCAGGGTTGAGTCTAAAGCCGCCGACGTTGATGGTTTTCTTTGGGTCCACCTGACTGATTGAGTAGTTCAGTTCATCCACAATTGCTTTGCATGCTGGGAAACACAGGTAAACCTCAGTGATGGCAACAAGACAAGCTGTAGCTCATAGGGAACATCAGTTGAGACAGTACACGTAGAAGTTATTTAGAAGGTCATTCCTGGTAACGAAAGAGTGCTACATGTCACTATCAAACTGAACTGACTAACTCGTCTGATGAGCTGCAACAGGCATCTGTCCAACACACTCATACTTCAGAGGACAGAGTTTCTGATCATATTTTATACAATATAATATATAATATACAAAATACCAGCTGAAAGTAATGAAAGCACGATTAGTGTTGAATACAAACATCTGTCTTTTTATCGTCTGGATTTTATTGTTGGATTTTGATTCATTATTCTTGTTGGCACAGACGGTCAGCTGAAGCTTCGTCATGTTCACTTGGGATGAAAGTGATCGGTGAGCCAAACCGATTTTGGGAATTTTAAGGCCAAGACCAAAATCAATATTTGAGTTAAATACATGACCCAACAATAATATAATAATATAGAGGCCAAAATGCATTGTATAAGATAAATACATATCGTAAGCATTTTTGAAAAGTATCTCTCAGATATGGTTACTGTGACCACGACATAGAGCAGTGTTACCGGTGCTCTCTGGAGGACGGACTGCTGAACGGAGACATAGAGCAGTGTTACCGGTGCTCTCTGGAGGACGGACTGCTGAACGGAGACATAGAGCAGTGTTAACGGTGCTCTCTGGAGGACGGACTGCTGAACGGAGACATAAAGCAGTGTTAACGGTGCTCTCTGGAGGACGGACTGCTGAACGGAGACATAGAGCAGTGTTAGCGGTGCTCTCTGGAGGACGGACTGCTGAACGGAGACATAGAGCAGTGTTATCGGTGCTTTCTGGAGGACAGACTGCTGAACGGAGACATTGTTTTGGGGCATGTTGCACCACTAACTACTGCTGTTTATTGACCAACGTATACACTGATACAATAGAGCTGTGACGTGCAAACATTGGGTGATGTTACACAGTAAAGGTTAGATCTTCCACAGCTCCTTCCTGGTGTAACGTTGTGCTCGTGTGTATACGGAGCATATTACAGACATTAAGGTACAGCTGCTGACAGTCTGACCTTCAGATAGAATATAAAGAAAGATCGCAGCAACTCATTTATTCTTTTTTAAATGATGCTGAAAATGAGTTGGCACAACAGTGGTTGCAGGTAATGTTTTTGTTCAGCCCAGATAATATTCATATGTATCAACAAACTCAAAACCAACACCTTCAACGGTGTTAATAGAGAGGGAATGGACCTTAGTGTCACTGGGTCAAATAGCATAGCAGTTTCAAACTTCAAACCTGACAGATTGAATGTCTGTTAAATAACTTGACTGGTCACATTACGACCAGCATCATGGTACAGTTAGAGCACCGGGGACTTACCAGAGCAGTAGATCTCCTTGTCCCTCTTCCCCTGGCTGCTCCTGGTGAAGACAGACAGCACCATCACAGTCATCTGAATAATCCATGAGGCCATATTGGTGACCTAACAGGACAGGCAGACAGTTATACTGAGAGTCTAATTAGACCGTAGCACATTACATCCCATCATCACGTCTTTTATAAAGGAGTTCAATGAGCAAAACTGCCCTTTTCCATTCAACTGAATTATTCGCCAGCACATGAAGTGAGTCAGAAAATCTCTCAACTACAATCATTTACTAACAAACAGCTGGAAACAGATGCTTACGCTTTTAAGAAAATGGATTTTACAATTTGCAGCTGAAATTAATTCACTTTTGGACTCTGGGTCAATTTTGGATGAATTCAGGAATTATAACAATGTCAACAAAGAAGCGTTTGGAATTTGCTACTGCTCTGAGCTGTGCCTCGGACTAGTTCCTTCTCCAGAGCAACAGGGGCAGAGGCTCATGGGAATCGTAGTATTTAGAGCCATTCGCCAAAATGACAAAGAGCAAACCTGATTTGTCAGAAAGAAAGTGCACATAATTCAAACTGCTATGAGCGTTACATTATCCCGCAGAGTCCTGACTCTCTGTGTTCATTCAAAGAAACAAAATGAAACGGGAACACAGAACGGAGAAACACTTCAGGAACCAGGGGCTCCTTCTCTGTACTTCTATTTGTATTAACTGTCCACATACCATCATACGTATCATTTTGATTCTTTGATGAGCTCTCTGACTTATAAGAGAACAGACAGTTACAATTTAAATTAATTTGGAATCATTTGTAATTTGTAGTCACCAAAACCCAGTAAAGGTGGAAGTTGATGCAACCTAACAGGTGGAGTAAAAGCGGATGTGAGGGATATGTAAACTCAGTGTCTGCATGTCCACATAGTCCTGAGATTCTAACTGGCCAAAGAAGAGAGACGGCCTGTTGGGTGGATGCTCATTGTTCAGGGGCTTTAAAGATGCGTGTGATCTGGCTATGCTGCAAACAAATGAGTGCAGCATTTCACCTCTAATACTGGGTCCATACAGTCTAAATCAGAGGTCTTCAACAGGGGGTCCACGCAGGTTTTGGTTGATTAGACAATAAAATTTTTTTTTTTTAAAATAAAATAAAATAATTCTCAAAACATGAATCTGTCCATTATTTTAATAGTTCAGTATTGTATGAAAGATAACAGGTATGTTTATGCATGGCAGTGGCACAAATAGGCCATCACTTATTTTCGTTTCCACATTTATGTTTAAAATAAAAACGTCAATTTGAATAGCTTGTATGATGATTATCATGCTATTGACAGACAATGTTGATATTGGCATTGTTATCAGCTGACAAGGTATGTTTATAAATGGCAGTGGCACGGCCTCCCTACTCACTGTACCTTGCACATGTTTAAAATAACATGAATATATGAACCTGTGTATTATTTGAATAGCTTAGTATTGAATGCACAATAAAGAGGTATGTTTATACATGGCACTAGGCCCAGTTTAATATAAAACAATTGTATACAATATATATTGCCGGGGGTCCCTGCTCCATCTCTCTATCAGTTTGGGGGTCCTTGGCCTGAAAAACGTTGAAGACCCCTGCTCTAAAGGATTGTGCTATCAGGTATCACACACTCAAATATTCAGGCATGCAACAGGAGTGACAAAGATTTAAAGCCCCTCACTCTCATGAATCACGCTGGCGTCCTATTTCACATTCAAAGAGGCCAATTTTGCTTAAAGGTGACAAGTTTGCGTGTTTGAGATTTAAAGGTATTCCAGCTTCTAAAATTCAGTTTCAAAGCATACAATGAATGTGAGTAACTGTGTAGCGTTCCCATTACATGTGTGACGGGAGGACCTTCTTTAGGAACCAATGATTCCCTCATGTATCAGCTGCAGCATGCTGTTGTTGTGTTTATCATTAAGCGTCTTTACCTTTGGTGCCAGTCTGGATTGAAACATCCGCCTCACCCTGATGTGTAAGCAGTGGTTGGCTGGAGTGAAGGTGAGACACAATCACGAAGGTGTAATTTAGGATTTAAGCAGAATGCAAAGTCCACAATTCAGTATTTAGCTAGCAGAGTTTTGGGGTCACAGTTCGATGTGTTTGAGGTTTACTGGGAAAAACAAATAATTAAAGAGCACTTTGGATAAATAAATGTATTCCAAAACATCTCTGAAATTTCATTTATATCTAAATGTCTATTTTGACTGATGTTGCATTTGTGGTATTCGAGACAATAATAATTTATTTTTTGTCATTATTGTCATCATTAATAAACATTAAAATGATTCTGTTTTTGTTTTGCTGTGATCTGAACCATGGGCTTTCACATGCTCTCCTGTCATTAGTTGGCCTTAGATGGGACTCACGTTTTTATTTACACCTAAATAGTTGCTCAAAATGTTGATTTTAAATAACTAATATTACATGTGGCAAAACAATTACATGTGCATACAAACAACAATTAAGGCGGAGGTTACATTACAATAAAGAAGATCACCCTGGACTTTGCTTGGGTCCAGACCCTTGAATGCGCTCACTCCACCGAGTTCACGTGGACTGCGTGTGAAGAGTTGTCAACTATGTATGATGTCGGGCAACCCTAAAGTGGCCTGCATTGCCACGTGCACGCGGACAGGTGACACGCATTTGCAGCCTCTCCATTTGCCTTCCTTGTTAGCTCAGGTTAGGTTACTTTAGCCATTGCAAAGACAACTCTTGGCAGCGCGTGCTGCACACAAACGCCTCACTCAGTGATAACGCTAGAGGTGTTCAGTCAGTCGTTTGATGGTAGCAGATGGTGACTGCACCCGAAACCTCTGGCAGTGTTGTACCGCTCAGCCTGCGGGCAGACGTGCATCGTGTGTTCTGTTGAAGAAATCTTGGAACACATGTGGGAAGTAAAGCAAACAAGTGTACACTGTGACAATGAAGTGCAGTTGGGTACTTCGGTCAAATGAGAAGAACAGGAGAACCAACATGAAGTAGACCTAGGATCCTAACCTGTGGTGCTTGGTGTATTGGGTGCATGCCGAAATGTGGGCTGACTCGAGACAAAACGTAAAACCTATTTTATTATTACGCGAGACCAAATGACGTTCCTATATTTGGCAGTAGTGCCCGCGGTACATATCGAGGCTGTGGGGTAGCTGGTCGGCTAGCAGGTAGCTTGTCTTACCTGTCGATGAGAGCAAGCTAGTCAGCTGGCAGCGGACGCGGTGTTGTGACTAACGTTACAATGACGAGCTGTCGTGAACTACTTTTTCTGTACATGCTTAGTATCTCACCACAACTCACTGACAGCTTCATTCACACTACTAGTGTTTACTTTCCGGTCGTGACTTCCAACGTAAAACAAATTTTTAACAACATTTTGCAATACTTGAGTATGACACGACTATACTGACTATGGTAATAGATGTGGATTGAGAAGACACTTAACATGAAGACAGTAAGTCCCAGTAAGTACACATTGATTATAGGCCTACTCCATACGAGACGAGCTCTGCTTTAATCTTGAAGGCACAGTGACGTCTCGTGTCCCTCCGCCTAGTTCCGTCTAACTTGGCGCGGTTGTCAGTGCAGCGTGTGTCTTTACGTGCCCGGCTGTTGTGGAGCCACGTTCGGTCGGGCACCGGTCTGCTCAACCAATCATGTTCCAAACTCACAGAGCACAGACCAATCACACCGCTACGTGTCTCAGGCGGTGCGTTCCAGAACGCTGTCGTAGAATAAGGAAATGAGACTTCAATTTCTGCTAACAAATACCAGAATATAGATTATTAATATGGGTCAATATATACAATGTAATAAATACAACGCAATCTAATTACCATGCCCCAAAAAATCCTCTCCCTGTTATGGTTAGGTAAATGCAATGAACAGATGTAAGCTTTAATAAAAACAGATTTTATTTAAGTATAAAAGGTTCCATGCAAATTAAATGTATGCTAAAATTAAAAAATAGATCACATTAAAACACTACCTAAAAACATAAAATCTCTCCTCTATGCTGGGGTTAATCAACCAATACACTGTAAATCTTTCTCACTTGTGTGCATGTGTGTCAGTGAGTGTTAGACGGGGAGCCAGGTGGTGTCTTCACAGGGGATCTGACCTGGTTTCCCTCCTACTAATTGAATGTTGTCTATAACATCAAGGTAGAGATAAATGTCCTCAGTATATCATGACGTGCAGCGCTGCATGTGAAAGGTAGAGTCAGACTAATCCGAGCTGGGTAAAAGCTGTTAGACAACATTTAACAGAGGTTAGCAAAAGTGTGCTTTTGAGTTTTAGGTAGTGGATTGTAAATAGTTCACTTGTAATGTTGTTTTGGAATCTCTATTTGAGAACAAATACGAATGATTTGTGCTCAGCGTTGCAGTCTTTTAGATACATGTACATTAGAGACATTTAGATTACTTTTGCAAAGTAATCAACATTTTTTTAAAAGAACAGAATGCATTCAACACATTTGTTAGACCTCAGGGAATCACACAATTATTTTTGGTGAGTTACAATGTATGTAAACATGACTTTTGTCTGTTTACAAAACTCCACAGGTCAACTTTAACATGGATCACCCACAACTTCCACTAAATCCCCTATGATATCCCTTATCAGGACAACACACGCGAGAAGCGACACGGTTGCAGCGTTATGATGTCGTCGGCACACAAAAAAAGGCTGTTTCCACTCTTTTACTATTACCCCTATGCAGATCTGTCACTGTTATGTGTGATCTTTATTCATGCAAAAATCCAACACTCCAGGTGCAACAACAACTGCAAAATGCAACACAGCTCAGGTAGCTACTAGGGGTGGGAATCACCAGAGGTCCCGCAATACGATATTATCACGATACTTAGGTCACGATACGATATTATCACGATACTGCGATATTATCACGATACTGTGATATTATCACGATACTGCGGTATTTTTACGATACTGCGATATTCTGAGTATTGCGATAACATATATTGCGATTTATTACTTTTTTCAACTTCAAATGATGTCCCCAAAGGAAAACTGTGTCAACATGTTTTATCTAATAAGATAAAGTTTTCAGTCTGTTCATCTCACTTCAATCATTTTTATTGCAGCAAAATAGGATTGTCAAGCAGACAGGCTGACCAACAATGTCATAAATGTTGCATAAACCTGACAAACTGAACTGTTTGTATTACTACATAGTCCAAGTTAACTGAATGCAAACGTGTCTATAACTTATATAAGTAGGATATAAGACTTATATAACTCAGTATAACTTGCGATGCGTGGACGTCGAGGGCAGAGAGACAGTTATGCGCTGCACTCTCCCCATGAGCCTGGCTACTGTTCGCAGATTTAACCCCGTTGTGAGGCCAGATTGAGCGTGTGAGCGAAACACTTCACATGCAGGAATCCCGCTAACTGAACGGCAACGCCCACGTTAGAAGCGTTGTTACAACCACCAGGTTTTTGTCGGCAATCCCCCATCTTGTGCTGCAGGAGGTCTGTAATGTTTGCCCCGGTGTGACTTATGTGTACTGCTCTAGTTTGGAGAACGTGAGACAGCAGTCACCAGTCCCGAGATATTGTGTTGTTATAGTCACATAGGAATCCACTGCGCTTGACTTCCACGCATCGCAAGTTAATGCAACTCTTTCTGCTGTACTTGAAGACTCCTCAACTTTAAGCTTAACTTCTGTAGAGCTTGGGCACGACTGTGTCGGTGAAAAAACGCCGCGACGGTGTCATATCCATGCGTCATATCCATGCGTCATATCCATGCGTCATATCCATGCGTCATATCCATGAGTCATATCCATGCGTCATAACCATGCGTCATAACCATGCGTCATAACCATGCGTCATATCCATGCGTCATAACCATGCGTCATATCCATGCGTCATATCCATGCGTCATATCCATGCGTCATAACCATGCGTCATATCCATGCGTCATAACCATGCTCCATATCCATGCGTCATAACCATGCGTCATAACCATGCGTCATATCCATGCATCATATCCATGCGTCATATCCATGCGTCATATCCATGTCCTTCCCTTCCTTGTTAAAAAATCCAAAATAAGTCCAGACGTCTGATTTAAACGCGGATGGTGCATTTCTGATTTCTTTCTCCAATGTCGCCATCTTTGTTTTGATCAACTTCCTACCAATCACGCTGACCCGGCACCTCTGCTGACCTCACCAGAAAACAGCTCAGCACCATCTAGTGGACTGAAAAAGCAATTGATTTGATTTTTCTAGTACATTTTTTTTAATAGTTTATATAATAAAAGATCGATTCTTAGCGTCCGTGTATCGATACAATATCGCCACGCAAAATATTGCGATACTATGCTGTATAGATTTTTCCCCCACCCCTAGTAGTTACGGGCGAGACGACCCCTCTGCCAGGTTTCCTCTCAACTCGTATCTTGTGCTCTCATTGGCTGTGAGACAAGCTCCCAACAGATCCAGATATTTAGCATGCTGAAATCTGGAATGCATCCGCGGGGCAGAGCCTCTCGACTTGAGTCTTTGAGTAGTTCACAGATGCTCGAGTGCCGATTTGCGATTTGCCTTTGGGACTTTTGTCCATGAGCTCCAAAAACTGTCAGCGAGAGGAAAATCAAGGCTTAAGTTGTGTCGTATAAACTGAGAATTACTTGACAAACAAAAAGTGATGATAAATTTGAGATGAAATTGAAGCCTTCTCTATTTTTTCACTCTTTGCTAATGCTAAGCTAACTTTATCTTTAGTAGCACTCTCTAAAAGACCGAAAACAATATTTTATTTCACAAAGAGCCAGTAGATCATTTTAATGGATTGACATTGCTAGGCAACAGCTTGGGTTCATGTTTACTTCCTGTCACTTGATGTTATTCACATACACTGCAACAAGGATTATATTAAAGGTCATTACGTCACTGAACTCTTGGTGCCACGCCGTTAGTATACATGTATTTGATTGTAATGGAGTATCTTTGTTATTACTGACTAACCAAACATCAAACTCTTAATGATATTTAATAATATTCAGGAGGGCTAATGTCAGCCTTTTCTCTCTATCGTTGTCAGGAGGTGGCACCAATTGCCACATTTTATAAAGCGTTTTGGCCGTCGCCATCTTGGATCACGGCTATCAGCATCTTGTTTTCTGAACGGAGGTGACCATATTTGGAATGCGGAGGAGTGACGTAGAGACACCGTATACAACTCTGCTAGCCGCAGCAACCTGTCAATCACAACGTAGCCTCGCCCCAAAGAAAACTCCGCTTTACAGTCAACTCTAAATGGAGCATAATGTACTAAATGAACATCATGCTGTATTGAAGAAGACTTGAAACTAGAGATTGAGACCATAAACTCATGTTTACAATGTTTACTGAGGTAATAAATCAAGAGAGAAGTAGAGTCATTTTATACAAGACTTCCATATAATCAGACTTATTTTTGAAACCAGAGGAGTCGCCCCCTGGTGGTCAGTAGATAAAATGCAAGTTTAAGACATTTCTGTATTGGCTTCACTTTACAGAACCGGAAGTTGCCGTTTGGTAAAACCATATTCTGTAAATCAAAAGAGCAGATTCAGAAAACTTTCAAGAAATGTTTCATTATAGGCTATTTGTTCAACAAATAAAGATGGTATGACCAACAACTTTCTAATCGTTGCACTCCATTATGATTTGCCCAGAGAACCTGATGTGGAGAGATTGAGAGTACCGACAGATTGTGAGAAGTGCCGGTACCGATGAGTACCTGCCCACTTCAAGGACTGGTAATGCGTCTATAAATCTGAACCTTTACACCGGTACTTGTTACTTTGTTTGTCAATGAACTAAATTAGCAATTGCACATTGTTTCGCTAACGTTAGCCAGCAATATCTCTGTTGAGATGTCCTACATTCATTTGGAGATAAAACCCTCAACATTAGCCAGAAATAATCCTTGTAAAGGTGTAAAACAAACAGACAGGAAGCTGCAGTGTTGGTGAGTTATAGCAAATTGTACAGCCCTTCGAGCTTTATCTCTGTCATGACTTATGTGTGCTAGCAAATCATGTTAGAAGACTGGTATGAAGTAAACCACTAAGGCAAACTGCAGGCAATTGTTGCATACAATGCCTGCAGGCAAGTCTTATATTGATCTAACACAGACAGGCCATATCATCGAGTCCAACCAGTTATACTCAGAGCCATTAATAAACTGATTTGGTCAGCAAACTAGTTTGGTCATGTATCATGATGTAGCTAACTTGAGTAGAGCTATATGCAGCTGCTGCGGAGCCATGATCTGTTTCGAGAGCAAACAACAAGGAAAACAAACATGCACATTTAGATTCAAAATATCAGTCAATCACATAATCACATAATTTACTTATTTTGATTTGTGTAAGAGAATTCTTTAGTAGAAGGTTTAGTAGAACACAGTCATGATGAATGAAGCCCTCTGAGGCAAATTTGTGATTTGTGATTTTGGGCTATACAAAATAAATTGAATTGAATTAAATGAAATGATGGGTTATAGTGGGACTTGCTATGCCAGCACAATTCATTTTAATAGAACTAGCACTAAAGTCTGGTAC